TTTTTGAGATTATCAAATCATTTCTTTCTAACCGGTTTATTAAAGTCATCCTTGAAGGCCAACACTCTTCTTTATTTCCAGTAACTTCTGGGGTTCCCCAAGGTTCCATCCTGGGCCCTGTTTTGTTTCTTATCTACATAAACAATCTTCCTGACAACCTTTCATCTAAAGTAGCTCTTTTTGCTAATGACTCAACTTTATACTCCTGTCTTGACAAAAAGTCCTCTCTTTTCGATCGCCTAGAACAAGCAGCTGATCTTGAATTCAATCTCACTTCAGTAATAGATTGGGGTTCACAGTGGCTCGTGAATTTCAACTCTAAAAAAACCCAGTTGCTTACTGCAAACAACTACCGTAATATGGTCAACATTCCTATATTAATGAATGGCAATCCTCTTACTGAGTCCTTTTCTTTACGTCTTCTTGGATTATCGCTTACTACTGACCTTTCATGGAAACCATATATACAATCGATTGCTAAATTAGCTTCTGCTAAGGTTGCTTCTCTTTATCGTGCTCGCCATTTCCTTACTTCTGATTCCATTCTCTACCTCTACAAATCTCTTATTCGTCCCTGTATGGAATACTGTTGTCATATTTGGGCTGGTTCTTCTAACAATTCACTTTCTCTTCTTGACAAGGTCCAAAAACGCATTGTAAGTGTTGTTGGACCTGAACTATCTGCTAAGCTTGAACCTCTTTCCCATCGTCGTAAAGTTGCATCTCTTTCTCTTTTCTACAAATACTATCATGGTCACTGCTCAAAGGAGTTATCATCTCTAGTTCAATCAACTAAAATTCATTCTCGTTTTACTCGTCATTCAGCTAAGTCTCATTTGTTTACTGTATCTGTCCCTGCATGTTCTAAAAACTTTTATTCATCTAATTTTTTTCTCCGCACTTCAATCCTTTGGAACTCTCTCCCATCTTCATGTTTTCCTGACTCATACAACCTTCAACTTTTCAAGTCTTCTGTCAACTGTTTCCTTGCTCTATAACTCTGTTCTTTTTTTCCCTAGTAACTCCCAACTTGATAGTGGTTGCTTGCAGCCTTGTTGGGAGTGAATGCAAATAAAAAAAAAAAAAAAAAATTTAAATATTTGAAGAGTGGCTGTTAAATCCCTTTTTTCCAAATATTATAAATAAGGAAGGTAAAAAAATTCTGATTTGCGATAATTTAAGTGCTCATATATCTTTAAAAGCCTTAAATATATGTGAAAAGCATAATATAACATTTATATGTTTGGTACCCAATTCTAGACACCTTTTACAACCATTATATGTTGGGTATTTCTCGAGTTTAAAAGCTGATTGGAGGTCAGTTCTTAATCAATGGCGTAAAACATCCAGAGGAAAAAAGGTTAATACCCTGCCAAAAAATTTGTTTACGCAGCTCATTAAATCTTCTCCTAATGTTGGTAAAGAAAATCTAGAACATAATCTCCAAGCAGAGTTTAAGGCTACTGGCATATATCCATTTGTACCAGAACATGTTCTCTCCAAATTACCCAGTTTTACAAATATAGATATTCAACTCAATATTGGAGAATCGTTTAGGAATTATATTGATAATATTCATCTTAATTATGAAGTAAGCAAAAAATTTAAGTTACCAATAACAGCAGGGAAAAGTGTATCAGCCACTGAGGTAGAAGCATACTATAAGGAAAGAGACAATAAAAAAAAAAGTCAAGATAATATTCGAGCAAAGAAAAGAGGAAGACCACTTGGATCAAATAATATGGTTATGAAAATAAACAAAAAACTTAATATTTTACAAAGTTCAAGCGTTGTAAATGTTAATCAAGTTAATGAAGACAATGAACAAGTTTTACCTGTATCTCAAAATGATGCAGTTTTTCATTGGAGCAAATAAACAATCACTATGTACATGTTTTCCTTGATCATGATTATTTTGTAAAAGAGTTAGTTGTAACTCAATACTTAAAGAATGAAACACTGTAATATTTAGTTTTATAGTCAATGGTGTTTATTTGTGGAGAATTATATAAAAATAATGTATTAATTATTTTTCTTTTATAACCTTAAAAATTATTTTGTGAATATTTTATTGAAAAACTTGTTTGTTTATTCTCGAAATATTTTATTGAAAAACTTGTTTGTTTATTCTCGAAATATTTTATTGAAAAACTTGTTTGTTTATTCTTGAAATAGTTTAACTAGATTTTTTAAAAAATTTATTTAAACTAATACAAAGAAATTTAAACAACTTTTGAGATTTAAAAAATTAAAATTGACATTCAGTTTAATAGTGTTCAAAGTTACTCGAAATGCGAGTGTAACTTTGAACGCCTACTTGAACATTGTTTTTTTACATAATATCTAGCAAATTAAAAAAAAAATGATAACAAACTAGAAAAAAGAGATCATCAGAACACCCTTTATGTAAAAATATTTGTTATCTAGTTAGTAAAACAATTTTCGTAGAGATAAACCTAGCGCAAACCGTTCAAAGTTACCCGTAATGACTGTAATTTCAAATAAAAGAATTTCAAATAAATGTAAACATTTTTAACGCTGCTTTTTATTTCTAAGTGCCTAATTAGGCTTTAATAAATAATACTTTTAGTAAAATACTCTTTTAGTAAATAACTCTTTTAGTAAAATAGTTAAAGCATTGTTGAATAGATAATTTGTGATATCGTATATTTATAATGTATGTACGTTAATAAGCATGTCGAAATTTAGTAATAATAAAAAATAAACAACATAAATTTCGTATAAAGTTTATCGATGATTTAATATAACAGTTAGGCGGGTAATTTACGCAAAAAAGTTGTATAGATTTCAAATTTAAGAGTCGAAATGAGTAAAGATGCTTTACTTTACACTTCTTTAAAAGAAGTGATTAAGAAAATCCATTACATTACTTTATATTATATTGTTGTTTGAATAATTTTAAACACAACAGGTTTTAAGCATTTTTATTATCAATTCTCAACAACTTTTTGGTTCTTTTATAATATAAAAGAACGAAAAAGTTGTTGAGAATTAATAATAAAAATGCTTAGAACCTGTTGTGTTTGAAATTATTCAAACAACAATATATAATATAAAGTAATGTAATGGATTTTCTGGATATGGATATTGGATATAAGTTATATACACTGTAATGGATTTTCTGGATATGGATAATGGATATAAATTCTATCCACTGCTTTGCGTAATATTTTAACTCTTTTATAACCACTTTTTTACATGAAGCAATCTTTCTTAACTCTTTTATAACCGCTTTTCTACGTGATACAATCTTTTTATCATTCGTACAGCTTACCTACCACTTTTTCGCATAATCTAACAGAACAACAGCTTATCGCAAATCAATTTTAAATTCCAAAAAAAAAGGAAGTATGGCAAAAGTAGTGCATGACCTAAATATTAAAATATAATTCTTCACTGGTATAAAAATTAATCGTTTTTTTAGCACGTTTTCATAATGATTTACTTAAAACATTCTTAATTATCAAAAATTCTTTGACGATTTCCACTTATTCTTCGCCATGTTATCACCTCATTCAACATGACTGCCAATTGTTCATGTATATATATATATATATATATATATATATATATATATATATATATATATATATATATATATATATACATATATATATATATATATATATATATATATATATATATATATATATATATATATATATATATATATATATATATATATTTATACATATATATACATGTATAAATCAATAAAAAAAGACCTGTGGAGAACAGTCTTCTCTTCTAAATTGAATTTAAAAACAAACTCTAGCACCGTTATATATCATCAGGTAGAAAATGCCAATCACTTTACAGACAGTTTATCACTACAAAGAGAGCCCTTGAAATACAAAGATATATAATTGAAACATGCTTTTGTCATTCCTAATGTTAATCTCTGAAAAAAAGAATATACTTGTTACATATGTCCACACCTTGAATTTGCAGTGTAAGCATGGAATCTTCACCTCCAAAAAGATATAAATTTTCTTGAATCAATTTAACATAGGGTGATATCAATACTGCATGCAATAAAAGACTTTATTTATTAACTCAGATCCAAAAAAATCACCCCATTAGATTAAATTATCACTGGATTTAAAAAGTTTTTAAAATAAAAAATATTTTTAGAGGTGCCTAAAGTCTATTAAACATTTACAGTTCTACTAAAGTAGGTCAAGCTGGTACTCAAAAGAAGCGAAATTTTTTAAAAAGTTCAAAAATAATATTTGTTTCATTATTATTTTTATTTTATTGCATAATAACAATAGTTTTTTAACTAAAAATTAAAAAAATGCATTTTTCACAAGTTTTTTAATAATATTTATATTAATATTATATATATATATATATATATATATATATATATATATATATATATATATATATATATATATATATATATATATATATATATATATATATATATATATATAATATATATATATATATATATATATATATATATATATATATATATATATATATATATATATATATATATATATATATTTTTTTTTTTAGTAAAACAATTATTATTTTCAAACTTTTCATAAAATTTCACTTCTTTTGAGTACCAGGTTGACCTACTTTTAAAGAATTTTTTTCTAAAATATTAGGGGCCCTTATAAATGGACAAGGGACTTATGGCACCTCTAAAAATATTTTTTTTTTCAAGGTTCTATGTTAATCCAGTGATATTTTATTATATTGCATATAATTAGAGTTATTACAATTTCAAGAAAATTATGTTTTTCAATGTACCCTAATGTATATATATATATATATATATATATATATATATATATATATATATATATATATATATATATATATATATACATATATATATATATATATATATATATATATATATATATATATATATATATATATATATATATATATATATATATATATATATATGTATATATATATATATATATATATATATATATATATATATATATATATAAAATTATCTTTAGAAATAATTTTGAATAATGAATGTGAGAAGAGCATTGCATTTTGTATTTCGCATATCAAACAGAAAAGCTACTATAGATTTTTATAAAAATGTTCTTGGAATGAATGTAAGTTGTTTTTTACAATTAAAATTTTTTATTTGTTATTATTTAGTAATAATCAACACTGAATTTCTTGTATTTTAATACTCATTTTTTGTCGTGGTCTCAGTTTAATTAATTAAAAAAAAAAAGAATTTAAGCTTAGAATAAAAAAAAAATTTAAAAGTAATTTAGTTTTTAATTGAAAAAGTATATATATTTTTAGTTGAAATGGCTTTGTATTGAAATGATTTGTAGACCTAAATCATTTTTCCTTTTCTTTATAAAAATCATGCTCTTTTTTTTCTTAAATTCAAGGTCCTTCGTCATGAAGAGTTTGAGAAAGGATGTGAAGCTGCATGTAACGGGTATTGATTTTGTTAAATAAACACTGTACAATTAAATATATAATGTAAATGTATATTAACAAAATTTTTAAATTTAATCCTGAAAATAATGCAATTTGTAACCATTGATCTACTTTTATTTAATTGACATCTATGTATATATTACCTTTACAAAGTATGGTAGCTATGGGTTGCTTCATTATAAAATAAATGAATTTTTTAATGGAGTCACGCACGGAACAGAAAAAAGCAAAAAATAAAAATGAATCCTGTTTTCTCTGAAAATGTATTAGTGTTTTGTTTTTTATAGGTTTTTTTTAAAGATTTTTATAAAGTTACAGCATTCTACGATGTATCTTTGCTCTGTAATAGTAGTTTGAACCAAAATCACGTGCAAACAAAAAAAAGTCACGAACATGCAAACATTAGTCATTTTTGGATTATATTTTTGAAAATAAATCGATTGTGACTATCATAAATAGCATATATATCAATACCGATCTATTTAATACACGTTGGATTAAAAAATATATATACTTAAGTGTGTTATATTAAAGATAAATAATGCATTATATAGTTAATAATATATTAATAAAAAGAAAGATACAGTATAAATTTTTAACAATAAGTTTAGTTGTAACACTTCGATAATAATATGTCCACGGTCATCAAAGTGTGGTTGTGTTACTAACTGTTTTAACTCACACAAGTCATGCCATGAGAGGTGGTCTACAGATGGGTATATAAAAATGAGTTCATTTTGTTCTTTAGGAATTTAATATGTGCCATATTATCTAAAATTTCTAATACTTCGGCAAGGTATGTCTTTGCTCTACCAGCAGAACGCAATTCTACATAGACAAATATACCTGGAGAAATAGTATCAAATTTTTAACTTTCAGATGGAGATGATACCGCGTTTATCAATAATGAAAATGATGAATTCCTAACAGTTTTTACCATTTCTGATCGGTTTCAAATGGCCATGTAAGCACCATCAATATTAAAAAGAAAAGAGCGGTGGCGACGAATAACCTTGACTTTAAACTTATCTTTGAGAAGCATTTCATCGATCTCATTTTGGTTTGTGGTAATACACTCATTTGTAATAGAGATGGTTTAAAAAAATGAAAATTTAATAACCGAAAGTTTCATATCTTTAACTTTCATTTTGTTGTTTTTTCTATAAATAATGACTTACGTTAATTTTGGTATATTTTTCATTTGCAATGCTCACAAAATCTTCTAAACTGCGACAATATTGTTTTCCAGATTTTACTGTTGTCCAAACCATTTTTTTTATTTCTCCACCTATCCCATAAACTGCCCCCTTTCCATGTGATGTTGCAAAAAATGACCAACAAATCTCAAGAAGATCAGATGATAATTTGTACAAATTATTCATGGCTGTCATGACAAGAGTTTTTGAATTGTGATGAAGGACCATCAGTAAAAAAGTGTTGTTTACAAATATTATGATAACGACTTAATAATTCTTTGATAATGAACAAGATGGCATATTTATCATGAAGTAAACAATCAGATACAATGGCATAGGAATGTTTATTATTCTTACTCCAAACTGCTGCAGTGAATACTGTTAGTTGCTGATGAACCCAGTAAGCAGATTGAATTTCACTTTGCTCCATTATGGTGTAATTTTCACTGAAATCCATCTAATTTCAGAAGAATTAAAAATATAAATGGATGAATAATAAGTTTATAAATATTAATACAAAATTATTAAGTTTTGTTATTGTATTACAAATAAAGTTACTATTTTACTTACTTGTATAATCAATTCATTTTCTGATACATTTTGGCAACATAAACAAAAATATGCACTTTGTTGTTGCTTTATATACACACGACGTATATAATCTAGCAATTGTTGACGCAGTAATACGCACCCCTCTAACAAAGATGTTAGTGGTTGTTCACTTTTCTGAGCGTTTTCTTAGGACCATTAGTCAAAAACAAAGAGCGGTTTGTTGGAATTGTCACCAAATGAGTCTATTACATTAGAAACATATTCATCAAACTTTGGCAACCCACAGTTTGCTTTACATTCCATAAACATGCAAGATTGGTTGTTTTGATTACACACAGATCTGTCAATAATGTCTGACATAATATTAAATTTTTTTTTGAAGGGCATTCGTTAACAACCCAAAATTTTCATGGTATATGCAAAGGCAAATATCGTAAGGAAGATCGTTTGCTAGTTTGACATAGAATGGCTGCAGATCGTAAAACTTAGATTTGCCCACTTTTCAATTAATATGCTCACTTTTTAAAAGTGAATATGCTTCTCTTATGGTCATCAGCATGTGATGAGTTTGTTTCTAAAAGAAAACGAAAATTGTTTACAAAAACTGAAAACCTTATTAAATAAAATGCAGTTCCTACATATAAATGATGTGTCATACCTTCTCTTTTGTTTTCTTACTAATAACAACATCTTTACGTCCTGGGGCCATTCTACTAATATCTTCTCGCAAATAAAAATCAAGAACTTTGCAATTAACATTGTCCCTACCAGCTTTGTCAGGGCCTGATTCTGAAATATTACAAAGTAGTATGTTTTCCATTTACAAATTTTTTTTTAAAAGGTATTTTCTTTTGTTTGAATCGGCAGGTAATGCTGAATTAATTTTTATATGTGCTTTTCTAAAATTCTGCGGAGATAAAAAGGGTCGTTCAATATCAGATGTAGATCGGTTCACCTCTCGCTTTTGCTTCTTTCTTTCGCAATCTTTTTGACGTACTTCCTCCTTTTCTTTTTCGCTCATGTTAGCTCTTTTATTTTTCATTTGATTAGTTTCTGTAATCCGATATTCTGGATGTTTCTTTCTAAATTTTTAAAATTGTTTTTGGATAATCAAAATATCAAATATCTTCTTTTTAATTCCATCTTTGGAATTAAAAAAATATTCGTTTTAAAATTTCATTTTTTTTGACTCACTGGAATGGAAATGCCCATATATATATATATATATATATATATATATATATATATATATATATATATATATATATATATATATATATATATATATATATATATATATATATATATATATATGTATATATATATATATGTATATATATATATATGTATATATGTATATATATAAATGCATGTCTATAAATATATATGTATATATATATATATATATATATGTATATATATATATATATATATATATATACATATATATATACATATATATATATATATATATATATATATATATATATATATATATATATATATATATATATATATATATATATATATATATATATATATATATATATATATATATATATATATATATATATATATATATATATATATATATATATATATATAACAGCTCAGTAAGTAAACTGTTTGATTATATGTGTTGCTGAAAAAAACATTATTATATGTTTCAAAAACAAAGAAAGCAAAATTAAAAAATGCGAAATAAAAATAAACTTAAATAGAAAATAGTAATAACAATAATTTAAATAACTTTTGTACTGATTTTATTTTAGTTTCTTGATAGTGGTTGTTATTTTGGGCAACAAAATTCAGAAAGTCGAAGCAAAAAAAAAAAACAAAAAAAAAAAACTTTCTTTTTAAACATTAAGAAGAATGGTTTTACTGTATTTTATTTTATTTTTTTTAAAGAAGAAAGGGAAAATATATATTGTCATCTTGTAAAATATATTTGTACAATTTTAATGTAACAAGTATATATTAAGGATTAAATTAAGCGATCACGATTTGCAAACTCTGGTAAAATATCTGGTCTTCATAATTTTAGTTTATGCAAAGCCGTGTACTTTGTTTTTAAGAGCAAATTATTGTATGTTTGTTAGCGAGAAAGTGATAAAAAACAAAGCAAAACAGTAAACTTACCACTACAAAAGTAATAAGACTCTAGCCACTAACTGCATTATAAAAGTAATAAAACTATAATAGTGTTAAAAATTTTTATTAATACTTATTAATAAAAAGTAATAAAAAATAAGAACTGATCAATACTTATTACTTTTAATGTTCATTCTTTAATCAAACAACTTTAATAATTCCAACTGTTAATTAAAGTAATAAAGCATCTAGAAAAAATAAAGTGGATACTCAAATATGATTAAAAACTTTAGGAACTTTTACAAATCACTTAAGGGTAATTCCACATCAAATCACCCACTCCATTGAACCATGTGTCTTCTTTTTGTTTTATATTTTGACACATGATTCCTATTTATAAAAAAATATTGCATGCAAAATTTCAGCTAAAAATGTCAAGCGGTTGACAAGATACAGCAAATTTAATTTGGACCTGGTTTCTCAAAATGACCCGGTTTTCATAACATTCTGAAAAGTTGTTTTCTTCAATAAAATAAGAAATAAAAATGGCAAAAATATAAAAATATACATTTATAATGGTTTTTTAATGCTGAACTCAATAAATGTACTTAAAATGCTGAAATGTTAGAGGAACATCCTTAAAAATTAATAAATCAACTAGTTTATATAATCTAACTTTAGGGCCCAATATCTCAAAACACCCCCGTCAAATTTTTTTTTTTTTTGCTTTCAATATTTTAAGCTAGTTATAATCTTACTAGGCACAAAAAATCTAACTGGAAAAAAAACTGAAACATATAGAACTTTAATTTTAAAGATGTATAACTTTTTTAAGAAATTCCTAAAAAATATTTATAAATTCAATTAAAATAAATTATTCCTAATTTACAAAGTTACTTAAATATACAAGATTTTTAAAGGTATTGAATGTGCAAGTTATTTTGACTGTGTTTGTAATAGTTCACAATATTGTTGCCATTTTACTTGCACTTCTTCTATTTCAACATTTTCAAACACATAGTTTCTACCAGAACTAGAGCAAGCTTGTGGAACAGATAGTTTTTTCAATATATTGATGTTAGGAATAAAACAGTGGTCGTCTCTTTCAGGCCAGTTAAAATAGATTGATGGACCTCTTGGGTGGAGAAACTTAACTTCA